ATATCATTTAACATGGTTTTCTTGACAAGTATTGTTTTCCTCTACATGAATTTTCTCAACTCCTGCCTACATTTCTGTTCATATGTTCAGCCTTTATTATTCTTCCAGTGAAGAACATTTCTTCACTCCTCTACTGGGTTAATGATGGCTGGGCCACTGCAGGTTCCTTAACTTTTCACTGAACCACTCACTTAGTAGCTTTTAGAATCATTTAGTTGAACAATCTTCTTTTAAAATTAACTGTTCAGTTAATTTCAATTCAACTGACATTTACTGAGCGCTTGTTATATGACATGTGTTGATCTAAATGCTATAGGAATTACATAGAACACTTTTATCGTTTGTTCATGCAGTCATTCAGTAAACATTTTCCTGAGTACCTGCTAAGGACCAGATTCTGGATTTGGGGTTGGGCTTCAGGAAATTGAATTGGACAAGGTTTCTCCTTCAAGACATAGAATCAAGGAAAAGTTATAAAACAGTGTGGTAATTTTAGTGATCTAGATATGAAACTAGGCATTATGGTCGTCTTTGGAGAGACTTCTTCACCAAATCCCTTTGGGTCAGGAAGAGCTTCATAGCAGCAGATACGCTTAAAGGCTGAGTAGGGGCTTAGAGTCCACTGGAAAGATAAGACCCATATACTAGGGCTTAGTTATGTTTGGTTATAAAGCCAACTTCTAAATTCTATGTGTTACCATTGACTTCCCCACCCCTGCTGCCCAGAATTGCATACATGCAACATTTGCCTTTTTTCTGGTTAGTTTAGGGGCCTTAGAACCAGTGTCTGGGACCTAATTACTGCATGAATTCATATTTCTGTATTCCAAAGTAAGAATAATAACATAAATACATAAAAATAGTCTCATGATGGTAGGACATATTACAGAGTCTTTCCCCATCCATCATCTCATCTCGCCTGTTCTTATAGAACAGGTTAGTGCCTGTGGGTTTCCTTAGTGAGTATCTTAAGCATTGTTACAGATAGATATTAGCACAAGAATTAGCACTGAATACTTGTGTATGGAGGATTTACAAATAAGTTTTTCTCTCTTTATTTCTAAGTGATCATACTGTATTGTCTGATTTTATTTAGATCACAGACCAGCTCTGCCCATAACCCGGTATCTAAGAAAGAGTCCCTTCTCTACTCTGTGCCTCACATTTGTCACTTGTCAAATATTGCTACTAATACTAACAGTAACACCAATGTCACCTCATTGGCTTGAGGTGAAGAATAAAATCATTAATCCATGTGAAAACACAATATATATAACTGATCACAGTTGAAAATACAAAATGTATCTTTTGAGTGACCAGATTGTTGGCTACTTTGTCAAGGTCAATTCAACTTAATTAAAGAATTTTCACTTGTTTCTTAAACTTTCTGAGGTAGCTTTGTCTTACTTTCTTCTGTTTACCCAATAGTGACTGCTGGCAAGTGCTGTATGTTCAGTAAACACTTGTTGATTGAAGTTTTTAAAGTACCGATCTTCTGAAGTCCAGTGCTGGAAATTGGTGAGCTACTTATATTTCTGCTTAGCATTCCTAAAGCCTCCGATTTAATTTCTAGATTATAAGTTCCATTGATAGAACCCTTGTAACTATCACATGAAGAAGGTGAGCATCACCTTCAGGCCATGCAATTTACTTTCTAAAAATCTGATTAATTTCAACACAATCAGCCAGGATGTCAGAAGATCTCAGTGCCTTTGATAGATGCTGACAGGTGAGGAAATTAAAATCAGGGAGGGAAGCAATTAAATACTGGCAAACATTACTTTAATGAGACAACCAAATTGTTCATAAGCCATGGAGTACGTTGTATTCTTGATAAATGTCGTAGGGTATCAGGTGAGCGTGCATTTAAAAATGTTCTTCATACGGGATTTGATGATGGGAATGAAGGACATTCCATGTCTGTCATCTAAAGCCTTTGGCCTAATCTCACATTTCAATTGCTTTTGGGGTCAGACTTCCTAATAATCATGTTTAAGATTATGACATTGTTTAATTTATAAGTAATCCTCTCACCACCACCTTTACCAGTCCATAAAACTTACCAAAATGCACAAAGTCTAGACAAAATAATTCTTGGCCTTTTCACAGTGGTTTAGGGACAACCGTGGTCAAGACTCATGGAAAGAGAAGTAGAAAAATGTATATTTAATACAACTTCTGATTTAAAAGACTTGGGAATTGTAGTGCTAAAACCAGAACCCCGGTCCTCAGTCCCCATTCCAGTGTTCTTTTTAAGATAACCCCCCTTGTTCAGAAAGAAAATATGGGACCACAAGACTGAAGACTTACTTGTTTATTGGCTTAGAGGAAGTTTTTACAAGCCTCTGTCAACTGCTCATTTGTACTATAGCACTTGTAAAGTATCAGGTATTAAGGGGCATCTATACATTGACCTTAGTGATTCTCATGCCATTTGGTTGGAATTTTTGTTCGTAATGTCAGGATCATCATCTAGAGTTATGTTGCCTAAAAAATGTTCTGGGGCGCAGTGGTCAATCCAGAGGTTACCATGGTTTGTGAAAAACCTGTCGAAACAGGTCTCTCTGCTCTCTTCATTTCTCATGTCCTCCCATTCCTCTCTTCTTTTTTCCTTATTCCCCATCATTTTTCTTTCTTCTCTCTCTCTCTCTCTCTCTCTCTCTCTTCCTTTGGCTCCATTGTTCTCTCCTATTTTCCCCCAAATACAGTAGAAATGATGAATTATTTTATACTAGTCCCAGCTAGGTTTGGTGAGTCTTGCTTTTGCACTGATTCTAATTAATAAGTTGAAATTTTGTAAGTTAGAGGTTGATCATCCTGATTTCTTTATTTTTGGTTGAAATTGCTTCTGGAGATGAGAACAGTTTTCTCGGGAGAGGGTGGGTGATTTGATAGAGGATGCAGACCTGCCAGGTTCTGGGCCAGCAGTCATAAAATCTACAGAGGCAGCCAAGGATAACTGACTTTATTACCAAGACGCTAGAGTGGGATTTGTCACTTGTCCCAGATGTCTTTATGGGTCTAGAGGAGAACTCCACTGCATTGGGAAATACTCGAGTTACTGAGGACACGTGCCACTCAAACCGTGTGAGAAGAGGACGGTGAACTTCTTAGCTAGAAGGTTTCAGCTTTTCTGCGGCGTGAGATGAAACTTAGTGATGGAGACCCCTTTACGAAAATTCAGTGGTACAGCCTTCTGTTGTTTCTGTGGCTTGTGTTTCAGTAGCTTGCCCAAGGATGTCGCATCTCTGAAACTTCACTGGGGAGAGCTGAGAAAGTGTTCCTGGTAACCCTGCAACGAACACTCTTTTGCCTCAGCTTAGTAATGTGTCACCTTCTGGTTAGACCACAGATGTGAAAAGTCTCTCTCCTTTCACTTGCCAGTGAAGCAGGACTCAATACTAAATGTGCTTTGGTGCCTTGACAATGGACTCTTATTGGGTATATACTCCTTTAACCTTTCCCTCCAAATAGAGCACCCCCAAATGGAAGGCTGCATCGTGTAGTAGAAGAGTCCTTACTTGTTTGGGGATCAAGATACAAGGTTAAACTTTTATGTGTTCCATGTTAACCATGTGATTTTTGAAGTTTGGTTTCCTGATTGGTGGAATTGGGGTAGTAAGGTTTCATTGGGGTTATGTCGAGGATGATTTGAGAAAACATGGTCATGAAATATTTTTCAAACTATAAAGCATAATGTTAAAGATGATTAACGTTTTGATATTGGTGGCATATGATAAGAGTTTCTTGCAGAGTATCCTATCAGCCATGCTCTATTCATATCATCTGATTTGAGCCCTGTATGAAAATGGGATATATTCATAAAACTTGTCAGAGGTCTTTACTTCTCAGTAAATCTATCCTTATGTTAAAACAAATCCCCTTGTTCTTGCACTCCTGTTGGAAGCTCCATCTCTCTGAACCTAAAGCACGATACAGGCCCAAACTTTAGAACGATCTGTGATAAACCTTCAGGCCATTCACCTAAAGCAGTTTATTTTGCTTTTTGGGGTTGAGGGGATACATGATTCTTAACTTTTGAGGTTTTGTCATTTGGAAGAAAAGTTCTTTGTGCTGCTGTTAGGTGAGGCCATGTTAAGATTGATATAGATAAATATTGTGGTATTTTAAAACGAGGGTCACAAATCAAGGAAATACCCAACCCAGAGATACATCCTCTAGCCTTGTGTGCTTCGAACATCATTCTTTGATCATATAAGTGTGGGCTCATAGGGAGAAATGTTACCATTTTTTATACCACCGCTGTCCATGCCTATAAATATGAAATAATGAAGGGGAATCTTCCACAAGAAGTTTAACTCATCTTCGGCTATGCAGTAGGTATTATATGCCACATTTCCGTGTAAGGAAATTGACATTTGGGGCTTGAGTAACTTGCCTAAGACCGTTGGTAAGAGGAAGACAGGTCTGACTGGCTCTAAATCCCATGTGTTTTTGCTGCTTCTTCACATCAGTCAAATAGCTGGTTTTATTTCATTATTCCCTCTTCCACTAAGTCTAGTGGATCTAGTCAGTGAGTTGTCTGTCCTTGTGTTTTCCCACCTAATATCCTAGGTATAAAGGAAAGCCCACTGGACGAACAGGCAGAGCTCAGAGGGTCCAGACTCTCACTCTGCCATGTACTGTACTATGTAGCCTTGGACAAGTTACCTACTTTTTCTGAACTTCAGTTTTCACATCTGTAAAATCAAGACAATAATACCCATTTCCCATGACGTTTGTGAAGTTAATCAAGAGAGAGATGTTAGTTCCCTTCTCATCCTCCTTTTCACTCTGTGAGCTTCTGTTTCCTCACCTAAGAAGTGGGTAGAATAATCTCTTCCTGCTTCTTCACCAGGTTGTCATGGGGTGAAATGAGATAATGAATGTGAAAGTGTTTTGCAAACAAGAAACTGTGGTATAGATAGAAGAGTTTATGATTGTTGACGAATAAATAGAGCTTGGAACCTAAGAGTGACCTCTACCTGTTTCATTTACAGACACTAGCGTTGCAGTGTGCTGAACCTTGTGTCCACTGATCATTCCAAGAGCTAGCTGTCCAAGGTAAGAGAGGCTTGGCATCATCATGTCTATGAAATGCTGATAGGCATCTTAGCCAGTAAAGTTTAAGGTAGATTTCACTCCCAACAGAAGAAATAGTAAGGTATTTCATGAGCATCAAAACCTGAAAAATGGCCAAGGCAGTGAACTTTGCCCCTTTTATGTCTTCTTGATTTGATTTCTCTTTCAATTCCTAGCTTTTTAAGGTTCAAATCAAAAGCACAAAAGTCTGGGCAACTTGGAAGTATTTAAGTGTCCATAGTATGCCATGTCCTAGGATGGCCTTTTTTTTTTTTTAATTAATTACTTATTATTGGAGTATAGTTGCTTTACAATGTTGTGTTAGTTTCAGCTGTGCAGCAAGGTGAATCAGCTATACATATACATATATCCTCTCTTTTCTGGATTTCTTTCCCATTTAGGTCACCGCAGAGCATTGGGTAGAGTTCCCCCGTGCTATACAGTAGGTTCTCATTAGTTATCTATTTTATACATAGTGTCAGTAGTGTATATATGTCAATCCCAGTCTTCCAATTGGGATTGGGATTGACATATGTACACTATTGATACTATGTATAATAGTATCATAGTCTCCCCCGCCCCCTTCCCCCTTGGTAACCATATGTTTGTTCTCTACCTAGGATGTTCTTATCTAGTGCCTTCTTGTATCCCCAGTGAGTATATAGCAGCAGGGCTTTCTCTTCAGTTTCCTGGCTGTCGATTGAGTGCATTTTTCACTACACTAAGTTACCAGTGTTACCTGGCTCTGAAGGGGCCAAACTTTACTCGTTGTGTCTGTCACTGCCTCTTAACTGCCCAAAACACATCTCAAAAGGACATAATCTAAGGCTACAACAAAAAAAATCTTAAGAATACAGGACATGAGTTAGAGTCTTTCGAAACCCAGGGCCTATAGTGTCTTCATTCCACTCTCCTGGGGAACCAGTGTGAAGGAGTTGGGACTTTGGCAGAAGAATTCATTCTTCTTGAGTTTGTCAGGAAAACAGTGACCAGTTTAACAAAGACCCGGAATAGCCAAGGCAATCTTGAGAAAGAAAAACGGAGCTGGAGGAATCAGGCTCCCTGACTTCAGACTATACTACAAAGGTACAGTAATCAAGACAGTATGGTACTGGCACAAAAACAAATATAGATCAATGGAACAGGGTAGAAAGCCCAAATATAAACCCATGCACATATGGTCACCTTATTTTTGGTAAAAGAGGCAAGAATATACAATGGAGAAAAGACAGCCTCTTCAGTAAGTGGTGCTGGGAAAACTGGACAGCTACATGGAAAAGAATGAAATTTGAACACTCCCTAACACCATACACAAAAATAAACTCCAAATGGATTAAAGACCTAAATGTAAGGCCAGACACTATCAAACTCTTAGAGGAAAACATAGGCAGAACACTCTATGACATACATCAAAGCAAGATCCTTTTTGACCCACCTCCTAGAGAAATGGAAATAAAAACAAAAATAAACAAATGGGACCTGATGAAACTTAAAAGCTTTTGCACAGCAAAGGAAACCATAAACAAGACGAAAAGACAACTCTCAGAATGGGAGAAAATATTTGCAAATGAAACAACTGACAAAACATTAATCTCCAAAATTTACAAGCAGCTCATGCAGCTCAGTATTAGAAAAACAAACAACCCAATCCAAAAATGGGCAGAAGACCTAAAAAGGCATTTCTCCACAGAAGATATACAGATTGCCAACAAACACATGAAAGGATGCTCAACATCACTAATTATTAGAGAAATCAAAACTACAATGCGGTATCACCTCACACATGTCAGAATGGCCATCATCAAAAAATCTACAAACAATAAATGCTGGAGAGGGTGTGAAGAAAAGGGAACCCTCTTGCACTGTTGTTGGGAATGTAGATTGATACAGCCACTATGGAGAACAGTATGGAGGTTCCTCAAAAAACTAAAAATAGAACTACCGTACAACCCAGCAATCCCACCACTGGGCATGTACCCTGAGAAAACCATAATTCAAAAAGAGTCATGCACCACATTGTTCATTGCAGCTCTATTTACAATACCCAGGACATGGAAGCAACCTAAGTGTCCATCGACAGATGAATGGATAAAGAAGAGGTGGCACATATATACAATGGAATATTACTCAGCCATAAAAAGAAACGAAATTGAGTTATTTGTAGTGAAGTGGATGGACCTAGAGTCTGTCATACAGAGTGAAGTGAGTCAGAAAGAGAAAAACAAATACTGTATGCTAACACATACATATGGAATCAAAAAAAAAAAAAGGTTCTGAAAAACCTAGGTGCAGGACAGCAATAAAGACACAAATGTAGAGAATGGACTTAAGGACACGGGGATGGGGAAGGGTAAGCTGGGACAAAGTGAGAGAGTGGCATGGACACGTGTGCACTACCAAAGGTAAACTAGACAGCTAGTGGGAAGCAGCCGCATAGCACAGGGAGATCAGCTCGGTGCTTTGTGACCACCTAGAGGGGTGGGATAGGGTGGGTGGGAGGGAGATGCCAGAGGGAGGAGATATGGGGATATATGTATATGTATAGCTAATTCACTTTGTTATAAAGCAGAAACTAACACACCATTGTAAAGCAATTAAACTCCAATAAGTATGTTAAAAAAAAAAGAAAAAGAAAACGGCGACAAGTTTAAAAAGACAAATAAGGAAGCATAACGTTTATGTGTTTAAGGAAGCATAAAAAGTTTTAAAATTTGGAAAATGTGAGTTTTCCTCTGCAGATAACCATCTGATATCTGTACTTCGCAGCTAGCTCCTTTATGCTCTCTATAATCTTCTAGAAGTCTTAGCCAAAAGGAGGTGGAGTAGTCACTATGGTGATCCTAACTGCAGGCCCTATAGAATAGCAACTTTGTGGAAGATTTGTTATCAGCATTTCAAGTACTGTAAACATTTGTTCTGATGAATATTTTGATTATCCCTTAGGTATGTTCTTTCCATGATCTTTTTTTTTTTTTAATATTTATTTATTTATTTAGGCTGTGCCAGGTCTTAGTTGCGGTACGTGGGATCTCTTAGTTGCCACATGCGGGCTTCTTAGTTGTGGCATGCACAACTAAGAAGGGATCTAGTTCCCTGACCAGGGCTCGAACCTAGGCCCCCTGCATTGGGAGTTTGGAGTCATAGCCACTGGACCACCAGGGAAGTCCCTCTTTCCATGATCTTAAACATAATTTTTTTTTTTTTTTTTTTTTTTTTTTAGGCTCCGGACGTGCTGGCTCATCAGCCACGGCTCACGGGCCCAGCCGCTCCGCGGCGCGTGGGATCCTCCCGGACCGGGGCACGAACCCGCGTCCCCTGCATTGGCAGGCAGACTCTCAACCACTGCGCCACCAGAGAAGCCCAAACATAATTTTAAAAAAATTTTTATTGGAGTACAGTTGATTTACAATGTTGTGTTAGTTTCAGGTGTACAGCAAAGTGAATTAGTTATACATATACATACATCCACTCTTTTTTAGATTCTTTTACCATATAGGCCATTACAGAGTACTGAGTAGAGTTCCCTGCAGTAGGGAATTCCTATGCAGTAGGTCCTTATTAATTATCAATTTTATATATAGTAGTTTAAACATAATTTTAATTACACAGACCTTTGAAAAAATTGAGGTTTGTTGGTACTGACCCATATTTGCAGGAGTAGGCAATTTAGAAATGAGTGGAAATTTTGGTGTTACATTAATACGGTTTTCAAAGCTGATATTCATCATACACATGGAATAAGAAGAGGTCATGTGCAAAGAAGGCTGGTGAGGGGGCACATATGGACTGTGAAACTCTTCTATGAGCAGATCAGACCTAGAAGCCACTTGTGTTGTTTAGGCTTTATGCTCGTTTCTACAAAAGAGAGGTTTACTAAAAAAAAAAAAGAGGGTAGCCAAAAATACAGGAGTGACTCCTGCCCATCTTTTTGTCCCTCTCTAGTCCATAAAACACCTCTGCAAAAAAATCCTTTCCTGTGTACTTCGTGTATTTTCAGGGATAAACACATCAGAGAAGAATGTACTGTAGACATGTGATACCATAATTTCTGATGGCTCTGTTAGGCAGAGATCTATTTGTTCACTTAGAAACTGCAGTTATTATATTAACTTTCCTCCAAATGCCAGTTGTTAAATATTAATAAAATAAATTTTGAAAAGTGGTTAACTCTGGCCCCCACTTCTTCACTGAAACCCATCTTGAAGCTACAAAGAAGAGTTTAAGCAAGGCTGGAAAGCTTATGAAAAATTGCTCTTGAGAAAGAGGAATTTCATCTGTCCCTCTGTCTATCTCTCTATCACTCCTTCCATCCATCTATCCATTCATCTATTCATCTACTTTTTTTATTTTGGAAGTAGATTTGGTGGGGAAAAAAGGATAAAATCTTCTCACATAGCCTTTGGAAGGTAGAGAAGTAAATATTCTGGGGGCATGCTACAAGAAATTTAAAATAATCTTGTGGTAATAATTGGTGTCAGTGGCAGTAATGAAGAAAGAATAACAGTTTAAATAAATAATTAGACTTGACAGTAGATGTGTCAACAGGTACCCACTTGATTAGTGTAATCATTGTGTTTCTCAGCTTTCAACATTGATCCACTGACTGTGGTGTGTTCCATGTCCCATTTCCAAACCGAATCTATTTAAAGCTGTACTCCATGGAATCTGAAACTGTATCCCCTGTTTACTATTTAGAGCTGATACCTGATGTTCTTAAACAGGGAAGATCTGTACTTGAGCAAGAACAGGCTTCTGGCCTTTGGTAGACTGTTGATTATCCCTGTTTTCCACAGGGTGATTCATTAGCAAGGATGAATAATGCACAGTTAATTCTCATGGACTTGTCTATATTGCTACAGTGAATTGTTGATTGTAATTTGACAGAAAGAGCCCTAGTCTGCCTTAAATCCAATAAATCAGTTATTGTTATTTGAGGTAGAGTTATTGTTATTGAGTTATGAGTTATTGTTATTTCAAAATAT